ATTAAAACACAACAACTAATGGAGGAGGTGAATATGTGCCAAACGATTTTTTTGTTTTATGTTATAAAAAAATGGATAGTGATCATAATATAGTGCCCCCATATACACCTAAAAAAATAGAAATTTTGGGAGAAGAAAAAAATTATGAACGTGGTAATAAGAGTGCCCAAGAGAAGACACTTGTCAAAAGATTTAAGGGAAAAGATTGATTCCACTACCACCTATGTGTTGAACAAATGTCCGGCCAAAAAGTTGTAAAGGTATAAGGAATTTTTAAAGTCCCATATGTTTTACGTGAAAATACCTAAATCTCTTCAGATATCGGAAATATATTTTTGAAAGCACCCCGAGTCAGATCTTTTGTGGGCAAGATCCTATGAAATAGCTGGGAACTAACCGAAAGTGCATTTACGGGAGATCCAGTAGTTGTATTTCTGGTTTACGTTAGCACATAAACATGCGCTGCCTCTTCCCCTTCCTCATTTTCAGAAAGCGTTTGAAAAGGAAAACACTAAAAACTCAAAAACCAAACCCTCTCAAACCCTATTGGGTCATAATCATCCTAGTTTGCTAAAAGCTCATCAAGAATCATCAAGCATCATACAAACTTCAATGTTCAAGCAGATTCAACCAACAAAAAACATCATTTATAAGTTATTTTTGAGCTACCAATCATTAGGTCGTCTAGTGGTGATTGGCGCTGGACTTGATAGGGAGGATTACGGTTCGATCCCCCACAACTGAGATCGGGGGGAGAGTAGGGGGCTGGAACCACTTAATGCAAGAACTGGCCCTCGAACCGGACTATATCAGTGGTGATAAACAAAAAAAAAAGTTATTTTTAAGCTTTTTGGAGTTAACGTAATTTCACCTAGAAATTGTGTTTTAGGCTAGACAATTCAAGTTTTTTTTAGTGTTGGCAAGCTTAGGAGTCATAATAAACGTTTTAGTTTTTTTTACGATCAATGACCTTTTTAAAGGTCATTAGGGGTGAGCTTCGCCATTAACGAAGCTCAAATATTGAGGTCGTACCCGAGATGTATTTCCCATTTTCTTCAATATTTACATCAAAAATCGAAATGCATATCCAGTTTTAGTTTGTCTGCATTTTTCCCATTTTTTTGAACATTAGCCATTTTGTTAATGTTAGTTTCGTGCTTCTACAAGATTAATGGATGAGAGACCATCTAGATTTAGACACAACAGACTTGCACATCATGCTTCTGTGCAGAGGGAAAGGAGTCAGGCATCCCAGGCTCCTTTTGCCTCTGAACAGGCTGTGTCAGATGCGCCTACAGGTTTCAGTGTTCATGTTTCTATGCCTACTTCATCGTCCTCCTATAAAAGACAAGATTCTCCAGCTCATCCCTCCTCGCCTATGTCTTCCTGTAGACGCACTGCCTCACCAATGGTATTTGAGGCAGGAAAGATATTTGGTTCCCAACCGACACCTGAGGCCACACAACTGACACCTGCTGCATCTCAGCCACAACCTGCGTCCCAGCCTCAGTCACAGATGGCACCAAAGGCGACATATGAGGCCCAGGAAGCTGAGCCGGAGGGTTTTGGAGGAGAGCCTTTTGATTTATCATTGTTGCCTCTGTACCCGGACCATGTTTCCATCCATATATGGGACGTAGTGGTATGAATTTTGTATTGTTTATTCTATTAATTTTTTTTTGAATTTATTTTATTATTAATTTTTGTTGAATGGATTTTGTTAAACCATGTGTTCAAAAATGTGATCCGTTGAAGATCATTAATCATGCACGGAAGATTACTAAAATCATATCTCCCTCTGAGCCATGGTTTCAGTATCCTTTTATGCTTTTAGGGTTGAAAGACTTGACCCTTTGTGGATATACTACTGTTAATCATAGTATGCTTAACGCTTTTGTTGAGAGATGGCACCATGAGACGTCATCATTCCATTTACCATATGGTGAGATAAGGATCACACTGGACGACATCGCGTGTTTGCTGCATCTTCCGATAAGAGGGAGGTTTTTAGACCATGAGAGGTGCGACAAAGAGGAGGCGCTGGAGTTGTTGGTAGAGAAATTGGGAGTTACCTCAGATTGCCTTAGCACCAGACGACTGGAGCTACATGGACGATTATATCATATGATTCTTCAGGGTGTCCCATCCATATCTGGTACAAGATGCTCCAAGAAACCCACTGATACCATCTCATCAGGAGATTCTAGAGGAGGAGCAGGCTAGGGCCCACTTATGTGTTTCCTAGGTGCCTTCGTTTCATGGAGATCGTGTGGGTGGGTATTGGTGGAGGTTTATTTTCTGATGGATCTGATGTTAGAGGTGTTCTAGATGCCATCATGACGGAGGCTTAGGAGGCTCTATAGTACATGAGGCAGCAAAGGAACGCCGAGAGGGTCACGGTCCAACTCAGAGTCCACCATACCATTAGTCTTCGTAGTTGTATATGTATTTTGGTTTGCATAATATTTTGTGTATCTACTTTTGGATTGTATTTGGATAATATTTTGATTACCACCTTTATAGACTTTGGACACAATTTATATTCTTGACTGCTATATGTGTGTGTGTGTGTGTGTGTGTGTGTTCATGCCATGCATTCATTTTGTTGTAGTTTCTAACATGTAAAATAATACGAAACAATGTAATTTAGTTTTTGCTATTGTCTGCATAATTTCCGGAAATGTAACTCCGGTTCCCTCCCGTATGCATTTATGGGAATAACTTATGTTAACAAAAAAACTTGTGTCCCAGAAATACATTTCCGAGAATGCAGGGGCAAAATTGAGTTTTTAAAGGATTCTTTTCAAAGGCATTGGGTGGAATAATAAATTCCCAAGTTATAACACCTGAATAATGATGTTCGAGAAAAGGTCTTGTTTAAGAAATCTAAAGGTGTTTGAATGAATAGCTTATAAGGATGTTCATGGTCAACCAAGGAGGAAGTTTGATGATAAGGAAAATCAATTGATACTTATAAGGTATCATCCAACCAGTGGTTACAAACTCTACGATCCTATGAGCAAACATATGGTGATCAATAAACAAGTAATTAATGATGAAATGGAGGAATGAGGTTGATTTTATAATAAGAAAGAGAATTCAGTAAGAGTAATGCTTAAAGACTAAAATTCTAACAATGAAACACAAGTTCAAATTGACACAAGGATCCATAGACAAAGAAACATCTCAGCAAGAATTCAAGATTGTGAAATGATCTCAAATGATAAAGTAACAAAAGATGACGAGCTTGTTCACATTACATTTGTTCCATTTTGAACTAGAAATAGAGTGAGAAGTAAAAGCTATAGCAGAGCGGGGGCGTACTAGCAAGGTTAGCACTCTGGCGCTCAAGTCAATATTGAAATAGTAGAGAGTATTCAAATTGTGTTTGAAACTTTTTACCTGAAATGACGTTATTTCCTATATAGAGGGGAGAGAAATAACGACCTAGCTATATTTCAAGCGTGGAATTCGGAGGACCGCTGGATGTGCTTGAGGTTTAGATCTTCTATAGTGAGGTATATGATAATCCAGTGATCATAAGAAGTTTCTAAATATTCTACCGCGTATTCAGTTGTCTTAAGCTTCAACTCGAGGTGATCTATATCAGCAGATCGAGAGAGATATGGTCGGTTTAAAACATTTTCCCCAAGACTTTTTGGGAGCTCTAGATATTGGTAAGTATTTAATAACTATGATCAATTTTATTGGAGACTTATCTCGATCATTTTTTGAGATTGAAACATTTGTAGTGTGTCACGGAAACAATGAAGGACAAACACATTTAATGCATTCTTGTTACTAATTCGTTGTCAGCTTTAATTGCTAGCACGTCACCTTAGGTATGAGAGTTAAGAATCGATTACCCTAATTAAGGTACATAAGTGTTTTCTACCCTCGTGCAGGATGATGGTACAAGATGTTGGTTACCCTCAAATTTTCCTTTTATTACTCAATCTGAATCATTAATCTTTATTTTTCCCTTTCCTACAAGAGTTTAGACGTTATTCTTCAATTTATTATTCCTATTGTTGCCATATTCTTGTCTATTCCCTTCGTATCACTCTGATTCGTTTAGTGAACCTAGGTTTTTGCTTGTCCAATTAGTTTTATGACGGCGATCACGGAGGAAGATTGCTATTGGGTCGAATCAGAGTATTTTATCCATAAACCCGCTTTAGTTCAAGGGAAAGAAATTCCTTCAGGTACTTTAGATAAAAGGGCTCCCACCAATTGGGAATTCTACTGGTCCTGGCATAGAAAAATATATTTCACAAGTTTGAAGGGTGTCCTATCCCTTTTTACTTCTGCGTTTTCCGGAAGTTGGGCATTCGTCTTTGGCTAACTTCTTCCGAGAAGGAGGTTTTGGACCATCTTCGAGTTCCTACTTTGTAAATCCATCCCTGTTCCTGGAGTTTCATTCGAGTATTCCATTACTAGTATGAATACCAGGGAAGGTGAGTTCAACTTCTCGAGATCTCTTTTTCAACCTTTTTGAAGTGTGTCTCATTTTGAAGGGTGTCGTTGGTTACGAGCTCATTTCTCTTTGTCGTGCCAAAAACCAGGTCTTTAAGGTCTACATTGATAGTTGGAATAAATTTAAGACCAAATAATTTCTAGCTAAGCCTCTTTATTCTCTTAACCATGAGGAATTTTGTGTTGTTTTTCTACTCCCACCGGATAAACTAAGGACACAGACTAATGACAACGATTCTAGTCTTCAGATCATTTCTCTAAAGGAGCAAAAAGTTATTAGGTCCCTTCTTAAGCTCTTAACGGGGTTGATAGGGATATAAAAGCAATTTTGCTTTTGTTTTCTGAGGACTTCATATTCTACAAGTGGTGACAGCTAGTTCTGCGAAGGGACGAAAATAGGTGTTGGTAAGTTGTTTTATTTATTTTCTCCGTGGGTATATATTTTTTTTCAGTCTTCACCTTTTTATTTCCTTTCTTTTCTAGATAAGTACAAGAAAATTTCCATCTCTATGGCCTACATTACATTATAACTTGGGCTTCCACCATTTGTTCTGACTCCTTTGGAAGGTCGTCCCAAAAAGAAACATGTCAGGACCAGTGTAGTTGCCTTCAATAAAGATCGGGTAAAGGAACCATAACGGGAGAAAGTTGACTCCATGATTGATGTTGTTATAAGGGTAGAAGGTGCTTCCATTCACTTTCCTTCTCTGTTGGATGGTCCTTCCTCTCAACAACCGAATGGGAGAAATAACTTTGTGTATACCAGGGATTATGCATTTATCAACCAAGTTTCTCCTTCTGGTCGACATGATATAGTAAAGGAGATAGATAGTTGCATGTGTGATGAGGATGGTGCCACTCTTTAACCAGTTAGTTGTTGATCCTGAAGAATTCCTATCACCTTTTGTTCTATCTTAGGAGGTGGAATCAATAAATACTCGTTGTTACTTTGCTGGGGAAAAGAAGGTGGGTCTTAAGATGGATTATCTGGAGATGTGGGGTGGCACAGGGCGTGTGCTTATCCTGTTTGAAGAAAAGTGTCTCCATGGATCCCCGACTGAATTAGGTGGACAAGTGAAGCATCTTAAAGATCGGCTTAAGAAGATAGAGGATGGTATCTACCAGAGTGAGCTTGAAGTGGAGGTTTCATCTATTGTTTCCCGGGATATTATGGAAGAGTTGGACGAGTGGGAAGAAAGCTTGGCAAAAATAGAAACAACTTTTTAGGGTTAACAAGTTGTGTTAGATGTACATTTCCAAAAAGTACATGATGACAACCTCTTAAAAATGAATGCTTTCCGAAGTGTCTTGTACCAATTAGAGTCTCTTGTCCCTGAGCTTCTTGCTTTTCACGCTTCCTTCCAGCTTATTTAAATTTTTTTGATGTATTAAGTTATCAATTACGTGCACATATAACAATACATATATTTGTTACCTTGTTGTATTTAGAATTTTAATTGTTTTCATTTTGCCTTTGTTTGCCGAGATGTGGTCATGCCTTTGTATTTGTATTGCGCTCTACGTCATAAAGGATCATTCCCTGGCTAAGGGTATAGGATCCTTGTACATGCCCTCAAGGTAAGACTTGGATCAAGGTGGATGTCTCCAGGCTCCACCACTCATGTCCCTTGGATTGGCTAGATTCAAAAAGGGGTGGGGTGTACCAGCTACGCATAAATACATGTATTTCTTTAATAATAAGTGTGATACGGTGGCAGAACCGACTGTTATACTGGTTTGCATTTTGTATTCGCAAATGTCGCGGTAAGCAAGAGTCGCCACCGACTTTTATTTCATCCAACAAAGGAAAAGGAAAAAGAACAGGAAAAACCTTTTTCGAGAATATTTCTGAGTACCGGGGGTAGATTATAGAAAGGGAAGGTGTTAGCACCCTTTCTATCCGTGGTTTTCCACGGGCTCTTAGGTACTTGCTCATTTTTAAATTTCTTGTGTATGCTTGCTTTGAAAAGGTTTTACTTCGTGATGACGCTTGTATCAGTCCTCAAGAGTGTGACGAAGTGGTTTTGAAATTTGTTTTAAAAAAGTGTTTATGTGAAAAGTTTTGTTTGAGCAAGTACCTAGGAACTAATCTACCTACTCGAAAAAGTCTGTTCGTTTTCCTTTAGACAGCATTATCCTATTATTAAGGAATAGGTAGCACCATCGTTGAAGTTTTAAAGGGACGTTCGAAGGGACGAAATGGTCTCTGAAGGCAACAAGTAAGGATACCTTAGCATTTCGAAGGGACTATCGTCATAAGATCGATTCGTAGGCAACTCGAGGGACAAATAGGGACTATAATCTTCATGACGATTTTGAATTGTGGGTCATTGCTAGGGTATCCCTATTTTCGAGGGACACGACCATTATTTTTGAGGCGACCAAGTGAGGCAAACCCTAGGAGTGAACATGTGCAGCAGTGTGTTTTTTTCAGTTACATTTATCTTGCAGTTTAGTGATCTACGATTGATTCATTAATCATACACGCCTAGGTTGCTAACAATTATATACAAGCATATAAAATATAAAAGCGAGAAAGTAACAGTCCTACCCTATTACAAGACTTTGGGGAGGGGATTACATATTCAAAAATGCGGGAAAAATGATAAGCGAAATATTAAACCTAATTTAACTATTACAACTTGGGAGCAGTTACAATATAATAATAAAAAGAAAATTAAAAACGCGCGGTAAATTAAATGCGAGAAGTGATTGGCCGACCTAGAAATCTAAATTGCAAAAATATTTATTTTATTTTTAACGAAAAAGTTAAGTTAAGTACATAATTAGACCTAGTTCTAATTATTTTGAATTATATATAAAAACATTAAATTGCCCTAATTTAATTAATACTAATTAATTAATTAAATATTTTTATAAAGAAAAGAATTTTTGATGTTTTTTATGATTTTTATTAAAATAAAAAATGATATATTTTTGGTGTTGTTAAAATATTTAATTAATAAATAATAAAAAAGAATTAAAATAAAAAGAAAGGGTGAGAAATTTGGCCTATAGAGGCAACCTAGGGGGATGCATTCTGGAATTTTTGTCCAGGCCCAACTATTCTGAGCCCAACATGCGCCAGATCCAGTATGTTGGTCTCCTGATGATCTATGGTATGACTGCTCGTATGGGACGTTGGATCTGGATGTGATGAGATCTTGGGGGTTAGATCTGAGGCCGTATGATACTCTTGTGAAGGTGAGGCGCATGGGATTTGAAAAGAAACATTTAGAAAACAAGAAAATGCCTGGACCTGGGTTCCCAGGTCCTCCCACTTACATACATGCTTCGTTGCCAGCTGCGCTAGGATGTTAACTTGTTAATATAATAACAATAATATGTCTTATATGAAAACAAGTGATTAACTGAAAAAGAAAAAAAACGCGCGCTTATTCAAAACACCCAATGGGGTCAAGCCACATATCTTCTTCTTCCTTCCTCTGTCATGTTAGATCACGACCCTTTACCTACAGACAATGTCCGTAGCTACAACCTGCATCATTCAAAAATCAAATACAAGTAATATAAATTCCCATGGAGACCATGAATCGGCTGGACTTGAAGCCCTAAACACCATGGTACCCACGTCTAGCCTTAATTTTTTCTGCATTAGGAAACCCTAAATAGAGCTTGAAACTCTAGGAATGGCATTTCGTGATTCCTGTACCTATACTCAAATTAAACAATCCAGATACATTGCATACATGATGATAAACATGAATATGTATTTAGAACATGTTTATGATGCCAAAATTAATGAAAACGATTTTCAAAAAAATAGTAAACCGTGAGACTTGATGAGCGCGATTCTGGATGTTTCAGGCCTTGAGGATGCTTGCTATTGCTTCAATGATCGCCCAAGAACACGATTTGACCTTTAACACGCCTTGAACTGGCCTGTGATTGAAAATCTGATTCTCACTTTTTTGCAAAAAATTGAAAACTTGGTTCTTGCTCTTGGAGGCAGTTGCGCGTCTGAATCTTCTCCTTTTGGGATCACAATGATCTTGTATATGTATGGAACCAAATTAGGTCAATTGTTTTGGCAAGAATCCAAGATATGAATGTGTTTTCAAGTTGCTTCCATTCTTTCCAATTGTGGATATTCTCGCCTTTTATGGCATGGCACAATCTTGCTTGGCTATTGACAGCACAGGAGATCTTCATTCAATGCAAAAAATATCCCAAAAACAAATCATGTGATTTGTTTTGATTTTATTTGATTTTATTTCAATTTTAAATGAATTAAATCACAATAAATCAAATAAATAAGTGAATGAGGCATGGAGTGGTTCATCGGTCATGGACCATGTTAGGAACAAACTCCAAACTTGAAAAGATAGGCCCATGTGGAAAAAATGCAATTTTGGGCACATTTGACTTTTGACAATTTTGCAAAAATGGTCAACTTTGACAAGGCATATCTCCTCCAATTTTAAACCTAGAGAGGTGTTCTTGGACTTTTTAGAAAGCTTAGGATGTCCCCTAAACAACCCTTCTGGTCTCATCTCAATTGGATTTTCCATGTTCATGTGAGTAGCTTTGATCCAAAAGGTGTTTTGTTGACTTTTCAAAAGGACTTATAATGTAGAAATTCATATCTTTTGATGAGTGCATATTTTGAACTTGTGGAATAAAGATGAATTGTAGGGAATTGCATCCTATTCAAAATGAGCCTTGTATGGAAAATGTCTGATAAAGTATGAAGAAGTTATGCTTGGTCAAAGTTTGGTTGACTTTTCCTGAGAAACCCTAATTTAGCAACTTTTGAGTTTTGATGAATTAGGAGCATTCCTTGAGGAATCGTGATCAACCCTTGATCAAATGATTAATTTAACTCCAAAATGTTGATGTTGACCGAAAATCTTGAAGTTTAACTGTATGTGGGCCACAATTGACTTTTGATCTAATACAGTCGATTCTCAGGCATCTGAGCAGTTGACTGAGCAAACTTCTTGTGCAAGGCTTGAAATTTGACATGGATGATCTTGAGAACATATTGGAACCACCGGAGGAATTTGGGACCTTTGGAGTTCACACTTCTTGATAAAAATGGAAACCCTAGTTTGAGGTACATTGCCTTAGGAGAAAGTTTGTCTGGTCAACTCTTGGGCATCCTTGAGCAAGTTGAAGACCTCAATGGGCATGTATTGAGTAAAATGAAAGGGCAAATTTTCGGGTACAACAATAAGGTATTTTAATATTGTATTCAAAAGTGTAAAGAGTCTCCGATAGAACCTATGGGGGAATTGCTTGTTGTAGTAATACGTGTAAAGCGTCTCCAATAGCTCCCCTGAATTCTGAAGGCCCGTTTGACGTTGTAGGGTATTGACTGTTGTAGTCAGATGTGCAAAGCGTCTCCAATAACACCCACGATTATTGAAGTTCGAACACCATAAAGAGGGAAAAATAAATAATCAAGATAAACAGATGAAGAATAACAAAGGGATTTCATTTAAAATGTCAACCAATTTTCATATTGCCGAGGTTATACAAGAAAAAATATTGAACTTCTTTTTTTAAATTATAATACTGTTTGAGTTTGGCTACGTTTGATGTCCTCGGTATCTTCTCTCCTTCTAGAGATTTCAACCGTTATGCTCCTTGTCTAGTGCTTCTTTTAACTGATAATGTCATTTCTATTTTGTTGCTCTCTTTTCGTCACACGCACTAATGCTTCCAATCTCAACCCATTTGCAATACTAGGTTTCCCATCTAGAATTATCTATGTCGTACATGGCGGTTGTACTGGGTAGTTTTTGCTTGCTAGACGATGGCACCGGTGAAGGCGGCTGATAGCCTA